ATATATATATATATATATATATATATATATATATATATATATATATATATATATATATATATATATATTCTAATTTCTCTCCTTATATATTGTCAATCTTTGTGCAAGGATATATTGGGCTTCTAGCTAGTCTATAATCTTGAGACCTAGCCGTAATTGAATTACTAGATCAAATATTAAAAGGCATATTGAAGTTCATCTAAATAGATACTCATATCAGATCAGATTCCGATCGAATCAGATTGATGTATCTTTCGTATCTATATACTAATACTTATCAGGAAATGATACGGAAAACAAATTCTAGTTGAAGCAGACATCTACACACCTCGTATTCCTGATTCTTCTACTCCAATTAAACCACAAAATATGAAAGCTAGAGACTAATTAACTTGTATAGATTAAGCGAATTTTGCACTATCATCAGGTTAAATTATTATTATGCGGCCAACAAGAATGGAGTCCTCTTCCTCTTGTTCATACTTTGCCCGCACACCAAACCCTAGTTTCAAAGCTGGCTTTTCTTCTTCTTCAGAATACAAGTATGAATCATTGAAAGAGATATTAGGCTCTCCTAAAGGTCCCTTAATCACATGTAGTTGTGGAGCTGATGATATACCCATTCGAAATCGCCTCGTTCAAAAGGCTGCATGGTCCTATTTGCAGCCTGCCATGCCACCAATCAAAACTCCATCTCACAACTGCTTCTTTTTGTTCCTGTGGGATAGATTGAAGCGTCCACTCAAGTTTGTCAACCAAATCTTTGCAGCAGCTGCCGTTAGACGCTACAATTAGCATAGAAATTATGTTGTTAATTATGGCTTCTGTTGTTTTCTTTCATCTCTTTTAATTTGTTGGTTAGATTTTACTAGGTGTTTAGAAACTTTAGAACTAGCTAACTAGTTTGTTAGGGTTTTTTCTTTTTAAACAAAAAAGTTTGTTAGGGTTTAGATCAAGGGAAACACTAACAATCCAAAAGCACCCATATGCAAAGATTGAGGTGTGTTACTATCAAGGTTTTATTACGACTTTGCTGCTACTTATATGTGTACATATTTGTCTTCTTAATTTTGTGACAGTTATCTCTCTTATCATTTATGATGATTTACAACACAAAATTTGGCTTTTCTTCTTCTTTTTTTTTTTTCAAAAAAAAAAAAAACTAGAGCTCAGAATTTCACGGTTTAGATATGCCCCAGAACTGAAAATTAGCAAGTCTTATAATTAAGGACTCCTCCTCCCAAACTCACATGCCCTTTACAATGGTATCTTCACATCTTAGGTTTAAAGAATCAACCACATGCATACACAACACAATTCCTTACTCTCTACGGAAGATTTGAGATTTGAGATCTGATGTTGAAAAATACCTCTATTTCCACCTTCTATATCTAATTATTCTCCCCCCTCCCGCACCCTCTATCCCCGCGAAAAGATCTCCAAAGAAAGCAGAACTACATAAATTCTAGTTTGATAAAAAATATTTGCTGAAATTTGGTATTTGAAATATTGAAGTACTAGTTCAGGTGAAATAATGATTTTTGGTTCACAAATCTTTAATTTTTGCATTAACTTTATCTACGAAGTTAGTTACAAAAGATTGTTTCGTGACTTTGTGTGATTCTTAGGTAGAGTTGAATGACTGTGTCAAATCTAGCACAAAGAATCAGTCAGGAGGTTTTGAGCTAAAAGATCTTCTTCTTCCTTGCTTGAGAGAAAATGAATTTACACTACACATAACAACTCCTACTCTACTATTATATACCTAACTAACCGACTGACCACTAGGTGGTTACTAACTTCTAATTATTACACATACACTCATTACTTTAAGTTAACTATACACTACTACCCTACTTCACTCTTGCTAGTTGCTACTCTTAACACTCCCCCTCAAACCGGAGGCTGCGAACACATTCAGCAATCCTAGCTTGGAAACCAGATATTCATGCTGCTGCCTTCCAAGTCCTTTGGTCAAAATGTCTGCTTGTTGCTCCCCAGATTGTATGTACTGTGGTACTACATCTCCCTTCTGCACTTTCTCCTTTATGAAATGGCAGTCTATTTCTATTTCAATGTGTTTTATTCGTTCATGATAGACTGGATTCTCAGCAATTAGAATTGCTGCCATGTTATCACATAATAACTCAACTGGTAGCTTCAATTTTATCCCCAATTCTTCATATAATCTGATCAACCATATTATTTCTGACATTACTGAAGCCATGCTCCTGTACTCAGCTTCAGCTGAGCTCTTGGACATTGTAGTTTGCTTCTTGGACTTCCATGATATTAAGTATTCCCATACTTCACTAAATACCTTGTCACTGATCTCCTAGTGTTTGGACATGAGGCCCAATTTGCATCACAGTATGCCTTGATTTCTTTTGCTGGCTTGCTTGACAGTAGCACTCCCAATCCAGGTTCTTTTTTTATGTACTTAACAATTCTCATGGTTGCTTCCATATGAGACCTCTTTGGGTGCTGCAGGAACTGGTTCAATGTTTGTACAACAAAACTTATATCTGGACTAGTCATTGTAAGATACAACAGCTTACCTATTAGTCTTTGATAAGATCCTATATCATCCAATGTTGCATCACCTTTGTGTCCAACATGATCATCATACTCTGCACTAGTTAACTTCTGATTGCTCTCCAAAGGAGTCCAAGCAGGTTTTGCTCCCCCTAAGCTTGAATTTGAAATCAACTGCAGAGCTTATTTTCATTGATTCATAAGTATTTCATGTCTAGACCTTGCAAATTCTATCCCAAGAAAAACTTCAACTCTCCCAGATCCTTTATTTTGAAGGCTTGTTGTAGTGTATTCTTAGTGTCACAGACCAGCTCATCATTATTCCCAGTAATGAGTAAATCATTAACATATACTAAGACAACTGCAATCTTGGACCCTACCATTTTGATTAATAGGAAATGATCCAATTGACTCCACAAAAAACTAGACTTCATCAATACATCTTCTAACTTCACATTCCATTTTCGAGATGCTTTGTTAAGACCATACAAGGACTTAACAAGCTTACATGCTAGGCCTGACTCCCCCTTGCTGTGAAAGCCTTGAGGAAGTTGCATGTAAACTACATCATAAGGTATCCTTGTAAGAAGGCATTATAGACATCCATTTGGTGGCTATGCCAGTCTTGAGCTGCAGCAATGGATAACACTACCCTCACTGTCACCATCTTTACAACTAGTGAAAAGGTGTCTTGATAATCAAGACCTTCCCTTTGGTTGTACCCTTTGGCCACTAGCCTTGCTTTGTACCTTTCAACTTTATCATTTGCCTTGTATTTGATCTTGTACACCCACTTGCAACCAATAACTCTCTTGTTTGGTGGTAATGGCACTATTTCCTAAGTCTTGTTGTCTGCAAGAGCTGTGAGTTCAGCTTTCATTGCATCTAGCCATTTGGGATCTTCGCAAGCTTCATCAAAAGAAGTAGGTTCAACTGTTGTAGAAAATGCTGCTAGATTAGCCTGATAGATATGGGACATGCTGTTGTAATCCAAGTAGTTGCTCATGGGGTAATGACAAGATCTACTGGCCTGAGCAGTCACATAGTCATTCATCCATAGTGGTGGCCCTTTATCTCTAGTTGACTTTCTTAGAGGAGCCTCATGGTTGTCTTCTGCAGACATAATGTCCTGGTGCACACTTGCATCTTCAAGTGTGCCAGCACCTTCATCTGCAACTGTAGGACCTATATCTCCAGGTTCACTTGTTGTTGCTTCTTCTGAGTAAAGATCTTCCATACCAACCCCTTGCTCTTCACTGTGATCTTCAAGCTGAGGATCAATTGCGGTTGTAGGAGCAGAATCAGTGGTGTTTGCAGTAGTCACATCCTGTGTGATCAAGGAAGGATCAAGTGGAAACATAGCAGTTCCTTTGATCTTCAGGTCCTTGAAAGGGAAGACTGTCTCCCTAAAAGTCACATTCCTGCAAACAAAGAATTTTTTGTGAGTTAAATCAAACAACAAATAGCATTTTTGCACAGCTGAGTACCCCATTAGGACACAACCTACAACTCTTGTTTGGAATTTGTCCCTAATGACTGATGGTGTAGCATAGCAAAGGCATCCTGAAACTTTCATATGTTCCATGGATGGACTTGGTTAAAAAAGAATTTTGAAGAAAGTCAAGCGCACCAAGTGCGTGTGATAACTAGAAATTTTTAATGAAAAATTTCATAAGGAGACTTCCTTGCAAGCACTGGTGTAGGCATTCTGTTTATCAAGTAGACTGCCAATAACACACATTTATCCCAAAATGTTAATGGAATATGCCCTTGAAACCTGACTGCTCTAGCTACCTCTAATATGTGTCTGTATTTTCTTTCTACCACTCCATTCTGCTGGAGTGTGTAGGGGCAGGACCTCTGATGAACTATGCCAAAGCTATTGAACAGATTTGTACATTCAGAATTAAGGAATTCTGTCCCTTTGTCTGTTCTAATCGCTTTAATCTTAGTGTTGAACTGTGTTTGGGCCATCAGAAGAAAATTTCTAATAACAACAATTGCATCAAACTTCAACTTTAACAAATAAATCCATGTTACTCTAGAGTGATCATCTACTATTGTCAAAAAATATTTATTTCCATCATGTGTTGCAATTCGAAATGGTCCCCATACATCCATGTGCAACAATTCAAACACACTTTCTACTCTACTTCTACTAGTAGAAAAGGGCAGGTTTGCCTGTTTGGCCAAGGGGCAAACTTCACAGCTATTTATTACACTTCTACGTAGTTTTTCATTGACATTCAACATATGCTTCATAACTCTTGATGATGGGTGACCCATTCTTCTATGCCAAAGGTGTAAGGTATTTTGATCTAGCCGCACATTCATGGATTGTGGAACTAACTCTTGTCCTTTACTTGAAGTTGCAGGAGTCAGTAGATAGAGCCCATTAGCTTCTCTGCCAATCCCCTTCAGCTTTCCAGTGTAGAGGTCCTGAAGCACACAAAAGCCAGGAAAAAATGCAGTCATACATCTCAGTTCTCTAGCTAGTTTGGATACAGACAATAGACTGTACTTGAAATCTGGGATATACAGTATATCCTTAATCTCTTGCCCTTCTCCTATCTTGCATTTACCAATATGTGAATTGTTGCCTTAGTTCCATTAGGTAATTGCATTGTTTTTTCATTTTGAGATGTTACATTGTATATATCAGAAAGTGAGCTAAAATTTGAGGTCATGTGATTGGTCGCACATATATCTATGATCCACTCATGAGTGCAAGCTGCCTTGTCTACTAAACAGACAGTGGAATAAGATATACCTGCCATATTAGTTGCAGTCTCCTGCACTTCTTCTTTGTTGAGCAGCTTCAGGATCTGATTGAATTGCTCCTCTGTGAACATAGGCCCTATTCCATATCCTGAAGAATTACCTTTCTAAGCATGATTGGACATGTTAGGTAAATTCATGTTTCCCTACATCTGTGGATTAGTTTCTCCAATCACAACCGAATTAGCTGAACCATATCCTCCTCTCCTTTTAGGTTTGGAATCAGCGGGGTAACCTACTATCTTGTAACAGTTCTCTCTAGTGTGCCCTTTCATTTTACAGAAATCACTTTGGAAATTATAATTCCTCTTAAGTCGAAATTGACCACCAACAGTCCTAGTAGACATCAATGCAGCAACTTCCTTTCCTTCAGCTGAGTCATGAGGATTAAACATAGCTCTTTGACTCTCAAGTTTCATTAACATGGAGTATGCCTTATTCACTATAGGGACTGGGATCATCATAAGTATGTGGCAACGAGCTTGTTCATATGACTTATTGAGTCCCATCAGGAACTGTAGCAACTTCAAACATTCCATAAATGCAACAGACTCACTAGATTTTGCACAGTCGCAGCCCGGAGCTGGGGCCAAACTATCAAACTCTGCCCAGAGTAATCGCATCTTCGAAAAATATGAAGAAATCGAGTTAATACCTTGGTTAATAGTTGCAATTTCCCTATGAATTTGGAAGATTCTCGAATAATCGATCTTATCTAATCGCTCCTTTAGGTCATTCCAAACTTTACTGGCATTTGAGGAATAGACTATGCCACTGAGCAATTCCGGTGAAACACAGTTCATGATCCATGACAAAACGATTGCGTTGCATCGCTCCCAAAGATCTACGAGATTTGTACCAAAATTTTCCCTTTTGCATGTGCCGTCAATGAACCCTAGCTTATTCCGGCCTAGGATTGCAATTCTCATCGCCCGACTCCATATGTAATAATTTTTCGGTCCTCGTAATTGGAGAGAGACCAATACGGCTCCCGAATTGTCATTTGAATTGAGAAATAGTGGGTGATTGTGGCTTAATTTCTCTGGTAATTCGTTGTTGACGACCGCCATGGCTGAGCTCATCACAGTTTTTCGATGAAGAAATAGAGACGAGTTAACAGATAGAAGAATTACTTCAAATGACCACACTCATGACCAATTGGCTCTGATACCATGTCAAGTCTAGCACAGAGAATCAGTCATGGAGGTTTTGGGCTAAAGAGCTTCTTCTTCCTCTTGCTCAAGAGAAAATGGATTTATAGTACATATAACAACTCCTACTCTAGTGTTATATACCTAACTAACGACTAACCACTTGGTAGTTACTAACTTCTAATTATTACACATCCACCCATTACTTTAAGTTAACTATACACTACTACCTACTTCACTCTTGCTACTCTTAACACTTTGTCAATACAAAAAATAATTTAGCGCCTTTGATGCAATAAATTTAAAATTGAGTGACCATCCATAAAATTACCTCATTTTTTATCTTAATTTTGTTACAATACAAAGTACCTTTCATTATTTATATGGTGTGCTTAATTAGTTATGGAGTAGTTGTCTGTCTACATTCATATTTATGTTCAAATTAATTTTGCAGTTCTATAGACTTTGATGTTCATCACCCGCTCTTAACTGTCAATTAAGGCCGTGGACAAGGGTTTTGTTATGTGCTCAAATTAAAGTCTAAACAAGTTAATAGCGTATACCTGAAACTTTGTTACAAATAGAGCCATTGATGCCATACAGAGAAAAATTGGCCTTCATTTATTCTACACAATGATAGTGTACTTGAATTTCAAGCTGATACCATTCCATATCCATTTCCAGTCAATTGTGTCTAACATGTTCTTGACAAGAGGAGTACTATTTGTTCAACCTTTTACGGAATTTATTCATTTCTTGAGTATATAGTTGAAGGAAAAAAAGTACCGATAGTAAACAGCATGTCATTGTCTTTAAATGTCAATTCTATTGCTAGGAACTGGACTGCCAAAATACTAACTATAGAAGGTGGCTGCAAAGTGAAATTACGTACCGGACCCTGCCAAAATACACCTACCAAGGCAAGGACTGAGCCATAGTCTCTTTCACCTTTCTTGAATTCTTTATCCAAGTGGAGTTTGGTCTATTAAATGAATAAAATTGGGATACAAAAATGAAATATACATGGTTCCAATTGTTTTCCGTCATATATATTGTGCGCCCACCGCAGTGGTGCCAGTTTACCGCCCACATCTTAATATTTGTTGTGCGTAGTGCCACTTATTCGTCACATTAATACATCCCTTTTTGTGGGGATCAAGTTCCTTGCCAACTGCCACCTATCGACCCCGATATATTTTCATTTGTTTGGGATATATCATTCAACTAAGCTTGTTTTTGACGAGTGAAGCGGCTAGGCTACATGCTTAGCTCTCCGCCCATGCCGAATACCCCCGGCCGGTTCCGTCGGGTAAGTCCACCCAGTGCCGCTACCCACTTCTACTAAGGCTGAGCATACAAAATGTGGGAACAATTAACACAAATTTCCTTAGGATGTAATTTAGAGCCTGTTTGGTTTAGCTGATTTAGAGTAGCTGATAAGCATAAGGTGCTGA